AGCTGTTGAATTGTAGAACTGTGGCAGACCTGAGCTCATTCCTCTGCTTTCCCTTGTCAGCTCAGTCTGCCCTGCACCTGAGTCCTGCTTCAGTTGCCTGGGCAGCCTTTCCCCAGCTTCACGCCTCAGTTCTTCTGACCTTTATTCAATGCTGCCCTTCATGGAACTGAGGCACCATATCCTATTTTGAAGGATTGCATGGTTGGGGACACAGATAAAATGTATAAGCCATAAAGTGTGTCATGTCGTTGTGTGTGCTGGGCGATGTGTTAGTGTGCTTTTATCTTCAATGCAGGCAACCTTCCTACAGTTTATCTTCAAGATCCACAGCTAGGGAGTTATAGAATTGGGGTTTGCTGATCTTAAAGATCTTTCCTAATAGACAGCCCTGAGGGGGGAATGACAGCATAGCTGATGACCAGAAGGGACACATGGTTCAAAATGTCCACTTGGGAACCGCTGTTGATTTGTCTCCCTAGGTCCAGATCCTCTTGTGTCTCCCTAGGTCCGGATCCTCTTGTGTCTCCCTAGGTCCGGATCCTCTTGTGTCCCCCTAAGGTGTGGATCCTCTTGCTGCACCAGGGAAGCTCTGTGGCTTTTGAGAGGGAATTGGATGGGAGTCTCTTCTCATTCCCCTCCTTACGCTGGAACTCTTGTTAAGCGGGGGCCTGCTTTGGTTCATAATGAGCATCTGAGCAGTTTGGGACCAGCAGACACATGTTCTGTTGAGACTGTTAGAGACTAATAGGTCCGAGTGTGGAGTGCCACCATCAATGTCTGGCTATGCCCACTGGCCTGAGATGGAGAGGAGAGTGCATGGCTCAGGGAAACCAACCTGTGCTTTTCAGTTCCCATAGCAACCTTCAGCTGCTCCAGATGGGAAGGCCGAGACTAACAGCTAACCTATCTGAGGTCACCTGGCCACGTGGGGCCACCCAGATCTCTGCAGCTGAAACTTCCAGGCTTTTAGTACCACACTGAGCCTGAAGGGTGAGTCAGACTCCCTCTTATTTCTCCCTTTTGATTTGAATGACTGAACTGCCCCTCCTCCCAGCGTCTCTCCATCAGCCTGACTTCATAGCAGCCCATGTCATTAGTTACTTCTCTAGATCTGCTGCATCTCCACGATGATCAGGGTGTCCCTCCCACCTGTGATAACCATCAGCCATTTCTGAAGCATCACAGGCCGCTTACCTCTGTCCAAAAAGGGGTGGGGGTGGGGGTGGGGAATGAAGGGGATTCAGAGAGAAGGAAGACCCAGCAGTGCCTGGTGCCTGCTGAGTCTGTGGGAGCAGGGCCACTCCTCCTGTCCCACCATACACTTCCTGACTCCTCAGGAAAGGGTCAGGATACTTACTGGCTGATGACTTTCATCTGGACCCTTTAGAGCCCTTCCCAGTCTGCATGCAGACTCCACTGTAGTCTGACTCGGTCTCCCCATAATAGGAAAGTGGAGAGTGGCTATGTGGACACAAACTTTAGAAGACCCAGTCTGGTCCTTGGCTCTGTGGCCTTCTCATTTTCAGAAGGGAGCCAGAGGTTACTGAATTGCTTCAGGTTCTGCAGGCTGCTGGCTGAGGCGCTGTCAGGAGATAAACAACATGTCTTCTCTACTCCTGGTTAGGCGCTAGCTGAAGCCAGCCCTCTTGAGGGGTCTACTTGTTTATCTGTCCTTATATGGTTGGTTTGTCAGTTTCCCAGGGAAAGATCTGTTTCGCAAGTGACCTCCTTGTTTGCCTGAACTATAGGAGAAAGGACTCTCTCATCTCTTATACCTTGGCTCTATGCTGAATGTTCTGGAGCAGGGGTTCTCAGCCTTCCTAATGCGTCATCCTCTAATACAGTTCCTCATATTGTGGTAACCCCCATAAAATTATTTGCATTGCTACTTCATAGCTGTAATATTGCTACTGTTATGAATCATAATGCAAAGATCTGCATTTTCCAATGGTCTCAGATGACCCCTGTGAGGGGGGTTGTGACCTACAAGTTGAGAACCACTGTTCTGGATCCAGGTGTCATGTAGCCCCAGAAGGTTTGGTTGGTGGGTTGTCAGTGTCCTACCGGCAAGGACCTGGGAGTACATCTGGCAGCCTTGGAGCAGGGCCTGGAGTCTGCCACACCATCTGGGCAGGGACTGCAGAGGGCTGCTGTTTCCTGCTCCAGCTTCCTCACTCTGCCTTGAAGAGAAAGCTGTTTGCAGGTTCCCTTGTGGAGACAGATAAGTTCTGTACAACCATAGACACTGCTGTGTTATGGGGAGGAGGCGGACTCAAGGCTCTGTGTCCCCCTGGCTAGAAAGCCACGGAAGCAAGTGTAGGACACTGGCAGTTACTGGCGAGGCTGGTGGGACTGGGCAGGGCCTCTGCTGACAAACAGGCACCTGACCAGAAAGCCAAAGCAAGTGGTGTCTTCCCTTCTGTGGGCCTCAGTCCTCAGCTTTCACATGCACACAAGTCATACATGCCTCTGGGCCGGCCTGTCTGACAGGAAATCCATATGTTCAGCTGTCGCTTTTGTCTGTGACAGATGCTGGTAGGTGGTTTTCCTGTGGGCTTGATCCACAGTGCATGAGGTGCTCTGAAGATGGCGGTGTTGAGCACTTGGTGACCCACTCAGTGACCCTAGGGGATGGCTGATACTTTCCCAGGTGGAAGCTCCAAAGGAGGTTCTTGCCCTCCAAAATTCATCTATAGCCTTTGTCTCTCACAGGAGCCCTGTGAGGATTCAATGGGTGAGGAGAGGGGGGGTCTTTGGGTAGATAATGAACCAAACTGAGAGTGGAGGGCTTATCTCCAGAAAGACATCTCAGGCTTAGTAGGACTGATGAAGGTGAGATTTGTGTGGAATCAACAACAGGAGTCTGTCCCAGGGACTGCTGAGCTGTCTAAACTGAGTGCCCCTTCCCACCTCATTCACACCCCCGATCTAGGCCAGTTTGTGGCTGTCTCCTTGACAACATCTCTTCCATTTGCCCATTTTTGGGTCTCCCCTTGTTCTCATGTACCAGCTCTGCCCTCCCCTTTGTCTTGGGGATTCACCTTTAACCTCACCAGGTCATGAGGATGTGGATGGGGCTAGATTTTGGCTGTGCTTCAGGATCCAGGATGTTCTTTAACTAGACTGGTGACAACTGTTTGAAGGCAAGGGCCTGGTGTGGCCTACCTTTTGGCTCCCAAGTCATTCATGGAGCCTGCATCCTTGGACCAGACCAGAGTTGCCCAGCTCCTGTTGGCCTCAGTTGTTGGGTTGGCCAAGATGGCACAGGCCTTTTCCCTCACAGGTGGCATGGGTGGGGGAGTGTACTGAATCAGAATGCATGGCTCCCAGGGTCCAGCTTCCTCTTCCCGGCTGGCCCAAAGCTTGGGAACAGTGGCTGTCTTTCTGGGGCAGCCAGGGCATCTGGCCAGAGCATGCTCTGTCGGGCATTGTCAACCCTTCAGCAAGGCCGGGTCCTGCTTTTAACCTAGAGAAGGCCCCGGGTTACTGATGTTGTTCTTGGCGGACCACCGGGCCCCTCAGCAAACAGGGAGGCGAGTGTGCACCCGGCCTGGGCCTGTTTGTGTTGGCCCTGCCAGGCGGGGGATTAGCTCAGCTGGGCTGCTAATTGCCTCCGAAGTGCCGGCCGGCCTGGATGCTGACAAGGGCTGGGCCTTTAGTTCCCTCCTCCCTAAGCAGGCACCATGCCAACCTTGGGGGCCTGGCCCAGAAGGGCCCCTTTTCTTCTCCCCTGTCAACGCCTGCTTGGCCTCGACCCTTGAGATATGGGGAGGGGGTCATCAGTATGGACTCAAGAAGAAGTGGGGGATGCCTATGAAATCATCTCCTAGACAAGGCCAGGCCATACTCCTCACCCTTCTCTCCTGTATTCTTAGACACCTCCACTCCACCCTGAATCAAACGCCGAAGCTCTGCGCTTTCTGCTCCTAACTAAGAAGCTGCTGGGCTCTTTAGCTCAGCCACCACCCACAGCATCTCAGTACCTTCTCACTCCTTCCCCCCCATGTCCTCCCACCCCCTGCCATTTCCTCACTCAGTTCCCAGCCCAGCTTAGCACCCTCAGCCATCCATTTCCCTCTCTCCGCTTCATTAGTCCTGTGTCCTCAGCCTTGAACAGCAGAGTTGACCAGACAGGCCTCTGGTGTCTCCATACTTCCCGGGGAGGGCTTGTTCTCAAGGTGTTTCCATACTCTTCCCCAGAGACCATTGAACCCGAGTTCCTTGACATCTACCCAGGATTCGGCCCAGCCCAGGCGCTGAGAGCTGTCCACCCTTGAGGGCCCGTGGCATGCCGCTCTGCAGCGTGGACACTCCCCCTCCACTTGTCCCCACACTCTGTTCCCTGCTTCTTGAACACTGTGATAGCAGTCCCTAAGCTGTTCGCTGCACTTAGCTTGCTAGTTGCTGCCCAAGTGTCCGGTCCCAGGATCCTCTGCTCCCCGGCTGTCTCAACTCTGGGAGATTGGCATGTTTCTGACCCCGGGAATGGGGAATAGAGTGCTTGCCTCGGCCCCTCGCCTGTCCCCACCTCTGCCTTTACTCCTTCACTCATCTCTGTCTGACTTCACTGCCTGTGCTCCTGGGAAATAGATGGTGGGCTTACTCCTGAGGAGTTGCCCTTCCTTTAGCTTTATATTCTGCTCTCTTATTCACTATCTCCAAGCAATAAGTTCTGTTATAAGCCCTATATAAAGTGTGTATACTGGGAAGCTCTCCTATTACAGATGAGGAGATGAACTCTGAAGAAGACAGTGAAGAGTCAGCTAAGGGCCCACACAGTGAAAGACTAGCAGCATGGTGGGTCTGACAAGTTGATGGCTGGGATCTCCTCACAGTTCTAGGACATGGCGCTCCCGTGTTCCACATCCCAGGTCTTCACATCTTCCTGCCTCTGACACTGATTTGTCCTTTTCTGTCTGTCCCTGCCCCTGTTCTCATCCTGCCTGTTGGATACAAATGCACATTGCCCTGCCACCCAGGAAACACACTCCTTCAGCCTCTACTGTCAGCGTGTATTTAGAAAGCCAGACACATAGCCTGCCTGTTCCAGGCTGCAGTGCATTTGATCATCGATGTGAGTGGGGACAGGTTGGTGAAAGGTGAGGGACTCACCAGCGAGAATGGCGGTTCCCTGGGTCTCCACATTGCAAGGATCCTCAGCTGAGAATGTGTGTGTGTGTTAGAGGTTCATGTCATGTTATTGTCCTATAAACCTTCCCCTCCATTATGACTGTTTCTACTTACTGAATTCTTCTCTAGTCACAGGTCTTGGGTTCCTTTGTCTCAAGATGGGAATGTGGTCTGTTCCATGGTCCCCTGTGTCCTGCATCAACATCTGCTTTGTCAGGTCCCTATCCACACACAAACTCTTGAAAGGAATGATCAGTTCAGTCAGGGCAAAGTTTACAAAGCTGGTCATGGCTTAGTGAGGTGTAGACCAAGCTGCCGATGATGGCTGATTTCAGACAGCATATAGATGGGTCCTGGTAGGCTTCAGACTAGTTCTTCAGAAGCAAAAAGGCCAGGGTGGAATGTTCCTATACTTAGAATTCACTTAACAAATACTTAGCACATAGTACCTGTTTTATCCATGTCCTTCCCGAAGTCTCTCTCCTCTCCCTATTCTATATTAAAAAAGTCACAGCTACAATTTCCAGGTAAAGAAATAACCATTTTATCGTGCATCTCAGACTATGCCATGGGGATGTCACAATGCCAAGGAGCCTCGTATAAAAACTGGAGGATGGGGTGGGGCAGCAGAGTAGGGTAGCAGCATCCAGAGCTGGGTTTATCCAGCCCTGGCCTTGGAGGAATACCACTTTTGCCTTGTGACAAGAACAGTAGAGAGTGGTTCAGGTAGGATGTAGACCTTCTGGCCAATTTCCTGGGTCCTTTGTGACTCAAGTGTGGTAGCTATGCCAGCCCTCAGCCAGCTCTTTGTATTTGAGACAGTTTGGAGCTGGACAGGTCCAACGATGCTCTTTTTCTGTGGCCGTGGATTCCTGTGGCCTTGACAGTGGTTCGAGCCTGTGGTCTGGTTCACCTGGTCACAGCCTGCAGAACCCCGGGAGGAGCATATTAGGGGAGCTAGGTACCCTCCTTCTTGGGACAGTGTCCATCAAATGAGTAAGCAGTCTGGATCCCACTGCTTCTGGATGGGGTTCCTGGCTCAGCATCGTCTGAAGGGACATCTCCCCTGCTTCCTTTATCTGGGCCTGACTTTAGGAGGGGCCCTATCTTCCCTGGTGCTGAACCAAGTCTGCCAGAGGAGCAGTGGGCCCAGCTGGGCAGCTGTGGGGACCCTTGGTCAGCTCAGCTTTCATCCACATCAGAGACAGCCTGCCCAAGATTATCCCTGCATTTGAATGTGGTTCCAGCACCTCACTTGGTTTTGGCTGCCTCTTCAGATGGACAGTGAACAGAGAGCTTTGGATGGGGGCCAAGGGTGTTGACCCTCTTCGTGAGGGAGCCAACGCCAGGAGGCACAAACCACAGGAGAGTTTGTACAGGCCTGAGCCCATATTCGGAATCCTGGGTTTTGCGTTCGCACCACCCATTAGCAAAGAGCTTGTGATTTCAGAGTCCCAAAGGGGATCTCAGAGTTGAAGACATCAAACCTGGAGTCCTGGACATGGGAGAAACTTGGAGACCATGCTGGGAAGTTCCTCTGAGGATTGGTCATCCACTGAGAAGCTGGGTCTCTGTGTCTTGTGTGCAGAACACTTGGTAGGTTCTTGATAATTTGGCTGGTGCAATGGGCCAGCCACCAGCTACTGATGCTGTTCCTTGAGGAATCTTTTGTCCTTACTGTACTCAGGGCCTTAGGGACCTGAGGTCCTGGGGATGGAGGTGCCTTGAATTCTGAGACGTCACTAGTCGCCTTCCAGCTCTTCCCCTTCTTGCCTCAGCCTCTTATTCCTCTGCAACCATGTGGACCCCAGCCCCGCCTGGCTTCTCCTGCCTCCCTGTACCTTTTATTCTAGCCAGAGCTCCTGTCCCATTGCTCAGGCCCAAGGAGACCTGTGTATCTCTGCCATTGGATACAGAGATTAAGGAAGAGCCTGGCTTTGCCTCTGCCAAGGTTGTATGGCGCTGACAGGCATGACTACCTGCTGTAAAGAGGGCATGTGCCTCTATGTTTGTTCCCAGGACATAGGTGGTCACCAAGGGAGATACCCCAGGACAGGGCCTAGGGCATAGTGTTTACTCAATAAATTTTGTTAAGTGAGTGAGATATCGTAGGGCAGGATCTCTGCACAGTCCTTTTCTGTTTCTCTGTGTGACATTTCCATTCTCAGGGTCACAGAGGGCAGCACCGTGAGGGTGACTCATGGGGAGGTGACTTGCTAGGCCCAAGCTAGGCTCTGATCCAGGATGCCAGCCGTACCCTGCGTAGGAGGGTCTAGGGGTAGGGACAGTTTCCCTTTCCAAGGGGGGAGACTGAGGCAGGCTGGCCTCAGGTGGGCCTTATTGCCCCTTCCTGCCTGCAATCTCGCTGCTCGTGTGTGGGCTGAGAAGAGCCCTTAGCCTTTATCCTGGTACCTGTGCCTTCCCTTTCTAGGGACCTTAAGAGCCAGGGCTACCAGGCTCAGATTACCATCCGTCCCTGTGTATGTGGGGTGCAGAGGCACAAGCTCCTTCTTTATCGCCAGTGATACAGATTCCACCAAGATGGAACCTGCTGTCCCTGGACGGTGGGTCCACAATCACTGCTTGTTACCCACTTTTTAGTCTACACGTAGAAAAAGAGACACCGACAACAGCTGAGTAGTCAGCAGTGGTCAATGTGGACAGTCAGAGGCATAAACAAACAGTCCCTTTGGTCAGTGGCAGCCACACAAAAAGGCTCAGGCTCGGGGAGGCCCTGGTTGGCGCCCTTGGGGTTGCCTGCCTATTTTTGGCAATAAATAACTTGAGGACCCAAAAACCAAACCAAAACAAAAAATACAACCAGTATGTCTTGGGGTAGGTGGTGGGAGACTGTTTAAATTATTGGCCTTCCCTGGGCCACGCAGGTGATGCTGAGCACAGTCACCGGCATGTGTGCATCTCCACGAGTCGCTGGCACTGTCGGCACTTGACGAAGCAGCACCAGTGGAACCTGCAGCCGCAGCGCTCGGCCAACTCCACCTGTGCCGTGTGGAAGCCACGGCCGCAGCACAGCAGCTCACAGCCATCAATGGCCTTGGACGTTTTGTTGCATGTGCGGCCCCTCGTGCCCAGCACACCACTGCGCATGTCCTGCTCGCAGAAGTCTGGACTGGGCTCCAGGTACACCAGGTCCTCATCTGTATGTGGCTTGAACTGTGCATTCCGTGGTACCAGTGCCCGGGAGGAGCCCACACGACGTGGCTCTACCTCTGTGGCACCATCAAACTTCTCCTTTAGTGCATGGCCCACCTGGCGGAAGGGTGGTACAGCTCGCCAGCACGTCTTTACCTCGCAGGAGCCTGACACCCCGTGGCACTTGCATTCTACCCGCATGTGGGTCAAGATGGCCTGTCAGAGAGGAGATGGGAGGGGTGATCAGTGACAGTGGAGGTAGTGGAGGGACCTCTGGGGACAACACATGGACATACTCCATACCAGGACCCCAAGGCTGATACAGAATCAAGGGGTTCACTGTTGTGCCTCCTTTGTATAAACTCTTAGTGGATACTATGCTGAGCTGGCAAGCGGTGTTGCGGATAGACCAATGGGATGCTGTCCCTGTACTTGGGGTACTTGGAGTTGCTGGAGGCCACAAGAAAGGGCAGTGTTCTAGGCAGTATTTGAGTAAGTGACAAGTGACTTGATGGTGCTGTGCTAAATCTCCACAGGGACTTTGGAAGTAGACATCAGGAAGACAGATGGTGTCAAAGGTGTGTGGATGGATGGGAGGGTCAAAATCCCAGATCTTCTGCTTGTCACCGAGCCTGAGACAGGACTGGACCCACACAGATATGTATGGACAAGGCCACTTACAGTGCTGTATAACACCTCCTCTCTCCACTACCAATCCTTGGCCTATAGAGGTGCCTGGCGACATGAGCCTTTCCGGAGTAGCTGTGGGGCTATTTTAGGGATCCGGCCCATGCAGTCCTACCCCAATGCCAGTGGGATTGATGCCACTCTACCTTTCTGCCGGCCTCGTTGTTGTGAAGGTTCATGAGTGCCCTGCTGGAGGAGGCTCCCTTGCTTCTCTCCCGTACGTCCACAAAGGACTGTGAGAAGGCTACGCCATAGGCGATGTTGTCCGAGCATCCTGACCACTGGAAACCTGGGGTATGGAGGGCATAGAGAGGGCTGGGGTGAGTTTTGGCCTGGGGCTAGGCCCCTGCCTTCCCCTTTGAACATCTGTGCTTACCCTGTGGGCTGACCCCGTGCACTGTCCGGTCACAGCCACACTTTTCCAGCTCTCCACTGCTGCACGCCCTTGTTACTGCAAAGGCCACACCTGCTGAAGAGATGGCGTACACAAAGGCCGCCTCCCGAGTCCCTGTACAAGGCAGAGGCAGAGAAGGGCTAGGTCCTAGGGCACCACATCTCTACTTTCTTTGCATAAAGGAAGATGTCTATGAGGGCTGCTGAATGCTGGGCACCAAGGAGGGACAAGGCAGGTGGAAAGCCTACACTCCAAGCACTCGGTAGTTGTTCTGATCACACCAGTAGCTGAGCCTCCTTCACAGAGAGGATCAGTGCCGCCTCCTAGCAGCCCAATGAGGGAAGAGCTATGGCCATCCCCATTTTTTACTGAGGCTTGGCCGCTGGTCACACAGCACATGGCTGAGCCAGCAGACAGCCTGGCTTCAGGGCCTGATCATTCAGTTGTTCTCACAGCCTTCTCCAGAAGGCAAACGATAGTCGTGTCATATAGTGACAATCTGGGGAAGCAAGAGGACTACAGTGCTGTGAAGGGGACACAGCCACATTGCCACTCCAGTTCTGCCCAGTTACTGAATTATTCACTGGGCCTTAAGTTCCCCTTTGTGACCCTGACTGAGCTTTTTCTCTGAGGCTGGGCCTGTAGCTCACATCTGCTTCCTTGAGATTTGAAGAGCAAACTATAGAATTGGCAACTCCTCGCACTGAGCCCCTCCTGTTGACTGGGGGAGGAGGTTACTGTACACAAGACCTCCACCCCTGCCAGTCTGATCTGTTCCCAGTGTCCAGATACCAGCCAGCAGGTTCCTAGAGGGGGGAGAGCTTTTGTCCCAGGCCCACAGGAGGTGATGGAAGCGAGTCTGCAGCACAGGTCTGCCTGCCTGTGCAGTGGTTGCATCTCCTGCCCATGGCTGCTCAGCAATTCTATTTTGGTGATGGCCCTCCTCCCCTGCCTGAATGGACGTTTTTATCCTCCTAGGAACTGTGCCTGGGGGTGTAGCTGCTGTGGAGTCTCTTCTCGGGGTGAGCTGGGGCAGTGTGTAAGCCTAGCGCGCATGCTGGCTGGGTGTGTGACCAGACAGTGGGTCTTGCTCCTATCCGAGACCCTGTGAGGGCCTCTGTGTGCTGTGACTGTCCTTCTGTCTCTTGATGCAGGGTCTGTGTCCACAAGAGTGGTGGGGGCAGGCTTTGGCCCCATGGTTGGCAATTACCTCTGCGACACCCAGGCCTGTGCTCCCAGCTGCTCTGGGGAGCAGTCACCATGGTCAGATGAGAACAGTCACCTCCACTGTGCTCGTCTGTGGACAGAGGCAGCCCAGCCTCGGCTCTGGAGCAGGAGGCGGCTCAGCCCCCAACACTCAGGACACCCTGTTCTCGGTACAGTCCTTAAGCAGGGAGTACCACCCACCGTTCCTTTCCACTACCCACTCTCTGCTTGGCCATTTTGGGCCTGCATTGAGGGGCTTGGCTGGAGCAATGGAGCTTCGACAGTCTGGGATGGAATCTTCTCCAAGCTAATTGAGGTTAATAGCAGGCTCATGTTGGTTGGTTTTATGCTGTGGCCGCCCAAAGAGAGACAACTTCAGTTTCTGGTATTTCTGGTATTTCCAGGCCTGAACCAGCACAAATCTTTGCCCCAAAGACCAAGGGGGAAGGGAAGTCCCAGAAGGTAGGGACTGGTGGGCGGCCTCAGCCCTCTGCCCTAGGAGGTCCCTTTGTTTCTTTAGCTGCTCAGGCAGTCTTTGCCCTACTCTGGCTCTCATTCACCTCTGCCCCCTAGTGCCAGTGGTCTTGGGGATACTAGTCTTCCTATGGGGTTGCTCAAGAGACCACTGCCTCATTCTCTAAACATCTGTCTGCTTGGACTGAGGTTGCCATAATGTCTTCATTTTCTGAGTGACTGAAGGAAGAGGCTATCCAAGACCATATGAATCAAAGCTCCGAGACAGCCAACTGTGTGCAGACAGCCTACTGTGTGCAGGCATTGTCTGGGCACTCAGTCCATTAGCCAAGGTGCTTTTCACAATACGATAGGAATAGATGCGGACCCTCTTTTACACAAGGGAAGCGAGACACTGAGCGGTGAGGCAGCTTGTCCCATGTTACCCAGCTAGGATGTGGAGTAGCCAGAATTTGAACTCACCCTCTTCTTACTGACCCTGGGTTCCAGCCATTTGGCTCCAGTAGTATGGCCCCTATGGCTTTCCAGGTACCCAGGTTGGAGCCTTGGTCTCCGAAGGAGGACATGCCAGGGCCTAATTTCCTCAGAATGCATTGTGGTGGGGTTGGAAGTGCTGCTGTGGGGTGTCCTGGGGAGGTGGGGTGTCCTGAGGGGGTGTAGATGCTTCACCCTGACCACACTGTAGTTGCAGGAGGGAGGCATCTTTGCTTCTGTCCTGGGCCAGGGGAAGCCCACCCTGCTGCCTTCTTCCCTCCTCACCCTACCATCTACCCTTCCCAAACCAGCAACTCGATTCTGCTGTTTTTCTTCCTAGAGAACCTCAAGTCTTGGCCTCACGAGTCTGGTCTCAATGCCATCTTTTCTGAGAGGCAAAAGCTGCCCGGGGATGGAGGGTTCAAAGTGGTCATATAGGGCCACTAGCCATTATTTCTGAGGACCACAGGGTGCAGGGGCCTTTCCGTGTGCTGACCAGGACTTCCAGCAATCCTAGATTGATCCCTTGAAATCAAGGCTTGCCAGACAGAGCTCTTGAGCAGCAAATGGCAGAATGGGAACTGGAGTGGGCCCTGTCTGACTCAAGGCCTGGGAGCACATCATAGTGACATCCCTCCAGATGGCAGGAGGGAAGCCAAGCTAGCAGAAAGGAGTTGGAACCGGGGAAGAACTGGCTGAGGTTGAGCTGGGTTGGCGAAGAAGCCTTGGGTGTGGTGACCTTTGGGCATTAGGTGGGTGTCCTGATGGAAGCCAGGGAATAGGCACAACTCCATCGTATGCTCTAGATATCTCAGCAGGTGGGCCCTGGGTTTGTCCCCACTTTCTAGGAAGGACACCCAGTTATAGAGAGGGCACGGACCTTGCCCAGGTTCTCATAGCTGGCAGGGCGAGGATCTGGGTCACCACTACCCTTGGCTTCTTCAGACTTCTCAGCTGTGACTTGGGAGTGACATAAAGTCAGAGCTGTCGTAAGAATGAGCTGGGCTGGATAGCACAGGATAGGCCAACAAACAACTCTCCTTTCCTCACTGGCTACAGTCTGGACCAAAAGGGGGATCTTTTCTGTCCCCTTGTATTCCTGAGGTCACTGCCCCAACTAGGTAACTCATGTATGCAGACAACCACTGAGTCTCCTTCCTGAGAGTTGGGGCAAGAGGCCTTCCAGACTGGTAGTCACTGCTGAAGTCTGTGAGGCTGGCTTGCTCTCAGTCAGGGTCATGGAGTAGTTACTGCACACACCACCGAATGTCAGCAACAGCCCTGAGAATTACGCATGAGACTGGTAAGGACCCGGAGGAATTAAGTCACCTGCTCTAGGTTTGCCAATCTCTGCTGTCCTTCAACTCATGGGCCTCCAGAGTCAGTCCTGTGCTCCCCAGCAATGAGTCCCCCTGCCCAACCCTGGCTCAGTGGAGACTAACCAGGCAAGAGTGTTCCCAGAGGAATTTTACTAGTGAAGAAAACCAGATATAAAATGGAGGAAGGTGTGTGTGTGTGTGTGTGTGTGTGTGTGTGTGTGTGTGTGTTGAGCTCAGATGTATCCCCCAGACATAGCTAGTGTCTGACTTGTGACTGGTCTGGTCTTAAGAGGCCTTGACTTAGCTCCATAGGGACAGGATGCTTGTCCAGGCCACTGGGAATGGTAGCACTCTAGAACAGCTTCCATTTGGCCAGGCAGGGTTCTTGTGTCCCCCTAACTTACTGACAGCACTAGTCCCTTCCTTGGTCCCTGCCCACAGGTGAGAAAGGCAGACTATTCCACAGGGTCCAGAAGTCCTTCCTAGCTTCAGGCTGACACTCACCGATCATGCCTCCCTTTCCTTGTCCTTTCAAGTCCTTGTCTTGATCTACTCTCCATCACTAGCAGACACCTACTGACTGTCTCCATGCAAGGTTTGGAGGTATGCCAGGAGACAGGTACTTGAGCCATCACTGTTACTTGGGATGCAGTGATGGTGAAGGGAGCATGGGTGGGGAATTGTTACACTTCAGTGTGAAGCTATCAAGAAGCAGTGTGAGCGCACATGGTTTCCATAAAAAACGTCTATCTAGATACATAGTGACTCTAATGATGAATATGTAGGAATCACACCCTACAACTTGCTTTCTATAAACACATGCAATTATATCAAAACAACAAAAAAATATAACATATACCCCCTCTAAAGAATGTAAAGCCTGGTTTAGACCTGTTAAGTCACCCCAGCACTCAGGAGGCAGAGGCAAAAGCATTGCCAAGTTCAAGGCCAGCCTGGGCTGCATAGAAAGTTCAAGGCTAGCCTGCCTGTCATACATAATAAAACAGTATCTTCAAAGAAACGACACTACAGAGGCATAGATCCTGGAGCGAAGGGCTGGGGCAGGAGGAAGGAAGGGCTGGCTGGGGGCCACTTAGCTGTTGGAGAGATGGCTGGGCATTTTGGCCTCCTGAGAGCTGGGGTGACTTAACAGGTCTAAACCAGGCTTTACATTTTTTAAAGGGGGTATACTTTATATTTTTTGTTGCTTTGATGTTTTGCATGTGTTTATAAAAAGCAAGTTGTAGGGTGTGACCATCATAGGACGCCCTGCTGATCTGTCTGTCAGTCTAGGGCAGCCGTTCTCAACCTGTGGGTTGTGACCTCTTTGGGATCATCTATCAGATATCCTTCATATCAGATATTTAAATTAAGATTTATAACAGTAGCAAAATTACACTTACGAAGTAGCAATGAAATAATTTTATGTTTGGGGATCACCACAACACAAGGAACTGTGTTAAAGGGTCATGGCATTGGGAAGGTTGAGAATCACTGCTCTAGAGGACACTTGTGACAGGGGCTTCCTGAGAGCAGCCTCCATAGGAAAGCTGGCTCTGGGGCTTTACCAGTGCAGCTCTGGGCCCTGGACAGCAGTTCCAGGCCTGCCATGAGCCTTCACCACTGTACTACTTGTTGGGTAGCTGTCTTTCTCAGCTCAGTTCAACAATGCCAAATGCGCTCATGCCCGCCGGCCCCTGCCAGCTCCCAGGAGAATGGCTTCCAGATTTCAATCACAGCCATGAGCCCAGCGGCCTTGTTTAGGCCCACAGGTGCCAAGACAAAGGTTGGCCCAGGCAACCTTTAACTGCAGCTTGAGCAAGTCAAAGAGCCCCATCGACTTGGTGGCTAGGACGTGTCAGCTTCGAGCTCAGGAGGTAGAATGGCAGCTGGCTTTCAGCATTCCCACTGAGAAGTGCCTCAAGGAACCTTCCAGTGTCACAGAACCTCTGCTGGGCCCTGGCTCACCTGCATTTAGCTTAATGCCCTCTCAGGTTACCAGCCTCCTTGGGAAAGCCTTAGCACCCAGTATTGGCCAGGGGAGACGCTCTTGGGTTTATTGGTAACGACAGTGCAGACCCCGCCTGGGCGCACGTTCAGATCCTGCCATTCCCTAGTTCTGTGATTCCAGGCAAATCGCTTAACTGCCTTGTGCCTCCAATTCTGCCCTTGCTGCATGGAAGCACGACTCAGGTAGATGAGTTAGATGAAGTGTTCCTTACAGCTCTTAAAATATTGTCTGGCCCATGTGAGCTGCATCTGTTGTACCGCTGTGGATGGTCTGTTCCCTGATGGATTGTGAGCCCTAGAGGACAGGAGCTGGTCCGCTAGAGCTGTTCAGTAGCCCTGTCACATGGGTTCCAAGGACCAAGGCCAGGGGCAAAGGTGAGCAGAACACCCCAGGTTGAAGCCTGACTCTATTCCTTGAAGAGCCTGGGGCAGGTCAGTCCTGTCTCTTCTCAGAGCCTCAGTTTCTCCCTCTGGAAAGCAAGGGCCACTCCAGTTCCTACTGGATCAATTGCACTGTCGAGTGCTGTGTGATCACGGAGCACTGTCTGGCCTCCTCCCGGGTCATCCTCCTCCCTAGTGCCCTCAATTGCGTTCTTTATCCCCTTGTCCAGGCCCTGTGCTGCTTCTCTGCCCCTGAGCCCTCTTAGATGTGCCTGGCCCAAGAAGTGTCATTCCCCAGGCACCTGGGGCGGCACACAGACAACCCATGCCCCCAGAATGCCCTCCTCACCTTGTGTCACCACCTTCCCGAAGACAGGCAGGGAGTCCAGTGTGGAGCAGTTCCAGCGTCGGTTCCGGAACTGGTATTGGCACTCCTCGATGGCCAGCTGGGCGCCCCGGCGCACCGAGTCCATCACCTCCAGGTTCCGCTTGCACAGCTGCACCTGCCTCTGGATCAGGCCTTTGAGCTTCTCACAGGTCTCCTCTTCGGAGATGCTGCCCACCGATGACAGCTTGGCCAGGTACCTGGGGACAGGGGTTGGATATGATGCACAGCTGTCCTGATGCCCGCTTTTCTCTTTCTGCACTCAGGGTTTCTTGGGGCTTGCCTCATCTCCTGGTCTGGAGACAAGCCTGCCTCCCCCAGTTCTCAGACTAGTAGTATGTGACGCCTGACATGTGGCTTGAAGCAAAAGGCAGGAACTTGTCTTGTTTACTGAAAGAGGGAATGACCAAATTGGAAAGCACACAGAAAGTCTTATATGGGAAAGTTTTACTGTACTGATAAGAGCTAAGTTATGGGACCTAGTTAGAACTGGGCAAAGCGCTTTACATTATTTCGTTTAATCCTCTCAGTGAGTCAATAAATTTCCAAGTTTTTTTTAACACTGGTTGATTGACTATGTGTGTGTATGTGAGTGTGTATATGAATGTATGTGTGTGTGCATGCGTGTGTGTGTGTGTGTGTGTGTGTTGCACTTGTGTGCACATCCCTGCAAGGTTAGAGGTTGAGCGTGGGTGTTCCTAAGGAGCTAGCCTCCCTTTAATTTTTTCCTACCTTTTTATGTAGCCAAGGATAACCTTGAACATTTGTCTGATCCTCCTGCCTCTACCTCTCTAATTACAGGCATTCACCATCACACCTTGTTTCCATGGTGCTGGGGCCTTGTGCATGCTAGGCAGATCCTCTACTGAGTCATATCCCCTGCCGGAGCCCCTGTTTAAAAGTGAAGAAGATTGAGGCAAAGACAGGTTGCTGCCTTGTGTCCAAGGTTCACAGCTGGCAAGAGGTAGAGCTTGGTTTTGTGTGATGTCACAGCCTTTGCCAGCCTTTGTATAACTTAGAGATTGACAGCTTGGTCAGCAGCTGCTGGGAACTGTGTTCACTCAAAACATGCTGGGTGAGGTGTAGTCTGGGCCTCTCTGTCCCTAAAGATGTGTATATAGCATCCAAGTTTTGCTGGTCAGGCCCCTGGATCAGATGCTATATACGTGGCTCTGGCAGGGGGAGGGTTAGTTCTAACTGCGCTGGGGACATCTATGGGGTTACAGAAAGCACATGTACCTGGGCCCCCACCTCAACTGCTTAGTGCCAGTATCCTCTCAGCTTTGGGCGTGTCTTGAGGCACATCTGGGAAGTCACTACCCTAGAGAGTAGTCTTAAAAAGGTACCTCACATTTTCTACTGAGACTCAGAAGTCTCAGCCTAGGACATCCCTGTCTACACTGTGGTCTTGACTCTCAGAGAAGCCACCCCCTCCCCCTGCATGTCCCAAGGCTGTAAAGTTGAGTCTTGCTTTCCTTATACATATTGGAGTCATGGCTTCTGTTCCAGAGGGCTAATGTGAGGTTGAACATGGCAAGGTGTGCTAACACACCGAGCCCAGCTGGGTGCATCTTAGGAGCTGTCCCTGGCAGCACCAGTAGGCCAAAGGAGATGGGGAGTCTCAAAGCCAGAGGACCAACCTCCCTTGGCATTCATTCCTGGTCTTCCAGGGCCCCTCTCAGCCCTCATAGCCTCTCTAACAGGCCTGGCTTCTTCCATGGGTTCTGGGAATTAAACTCAGGTTTTCACACTTGCACAGCAAATTCTTTCCCTAGGTCCTGGGGTATGCACAGACTAGCAGCACTCTGGCCAATCCGTATCAGAACCCAAGTCTCTTGGAAAGGAGAAAGGGTGGGAGAAAGGGAAGGGAAGGGAAGGGAAGGAGTAAGGGTCAGGAGAAGGGAATATCTGGAAGTGGTGAACCTGGCTTCAGCCCTGCCTGGGTACTCCTTGCTTCCTTTGCCACATGAAGGGGGGGTCTCCTACAGAACCACACCCATGAGTCACTCTTGGCCTGCAGGGGGCGCCAAGAGCTCAGCTACTGGCGGTGGGCCAGGACACTGTTCCGAGGCCACTGTGTCCTTCCTTCAAGGGTCAGGGAGTTGAACCTATCATTAGGTATTTTCCTGTCCTCACTCAGGCTAGGGATCTCAGAAAAGGATGGAGACCCCATTCCCTCCAGGATTTGGGGGCACATATCTTGTCTAACCATATTTTTCCCCTCCCTGTAAGCTAAGCAGGTCAGGTCTGGCTAGATTGGGCCCTGCCTGGCCTCTGGTGAAGGGAGGAATTCAGGGACTGAAGTCTCTGGCCAGAAGGAACAGGCAGGGAGGTTTGGCTAAGCCATCAGCCCATTGTGACCTGAGGCAAGTCCCCTTCCACCTGGAGCTGGCTATGGGCACAGTGAGCTAGCTGGTATGTCTGTGTGGGCCTTCCCACGATCAGAGTTCGAGTTCTCCTTCTGCTGGCAGAAGAGGGCCTGCTGGTCCCATGCCACCAAACGGGAGTAATGGACTCGAGGAACTGAACATTCCTCCCTGGGGCTCTGAATGTAATAGGGAGACAGGCCTAAATGACAGTGGCAGGGGCGGTGGCCGGGGG